TTGCGTTTCTCAACAATAAATTTATCAGACACGACAAATACCCTACAAATTCAGAGTTCTTTTTTTGAACAGGGTTTCAAAGAAGTGTTGCGGGACACATTTTGGATTACGTTTTTCAAGAATACATTTCTGAGAAAAAAAATCATCAAGTTCAAAGTTGACCGTTCATATTCTTAATTGTTAATAACACACAAAACGATGCTGACCATCATTGCCACTGATAGATATATTTTACACAATATTTTGGAAAAACTTTTGAGTTTGAAGCAATATATTGATTTCGTTGGCAGCGCATCAATTTTTCATGCAAACCATTGGGATTTTCGTAAACTCCATTTTTCATGTTTGAGATATAATAGAAAAATCCAGATGATTCAAGTCCGGACTTCTGGGTGGCCAAGGAATTACCACGTCAAATTCAAAGGTTTGGAAAAGTTTATCCAAGTAAACACACAAGTTTCTCCTTGGAACATCTATATATAACCAGCAAAAAACTCACAGTTGATTATTTTGCCAGATAGAAATTTCAGACACAAATTTTTCTTTAAGAAAAATAATAATTTTTTCTTTTGTAAAAATTAGGCCAAACGTAAACGAGCAGCAGGATCATGTGTCATCAAGTTCTGTACGGGACTCGAGTAAATTTGATAGAATTTCAGCGTTCTCAGGACTATTTTTCTACTCAATAGATATGCATGTTGGGGGCTTTGATTTTCTCGAAGTACTAAAACCGAGTGTTTGCTGAATCATTTTTTTTTCAAAAACGGACCGAAAAATCGATGGGAAACGAGAATGAATACCCGAATATTTTCAGAATAATGGCAAAAACAAATAAACTTAGCTGTTTTCCATTGTTAATAAATTCAGCATTGAGCAGCTTCAAAGCGACAAATCTTTATGCACAATAAGGTATGTGGATTGATTTTTTTGTGTGGTGACTTGAGATTAGGGTTCTGAGCGTAAAATTCAGCGGATCGGCAGTTTATTCTCGGACAAACTTTCGTCTCGGATCGTTCTTTTTGTTTAGGCTCCATCCACACGGATAAAAGCCTCGAAATTATTTTAATCTTATTAATGTACTGAAGCCAGCAATCGGGGTGGATAATTGTAGCCGACTCCGAGCCGCAACTACAAAGCGGCCCTCTGAAAGTCCGGAGTTTCGTTTTTATCCGCTGCATTCGACCGAAAAACGGACAGGATAAATAAAATAAACAGGTTCAATGAAAATTTATTCCCAACCCTTCGTAATGAATGGGTACATGTGGTGATGAGCCAGCGAGAAAACCAAGGGATTTTCGCTAGTCAACCAATCAGAACATATCAATTTTTTCCAGTTTTCCCATCTTCTGCTAGTAAAAATCACCTTAAACGGCGTAAAAATAAAAGTTGCATCACTTTATTTTTCTCTCCTCCATCCAATATTTCCGTAATGGGGTTTTCGAGACATCGGTCGACGGATTCGTATTTTTCTAGATTCTCAGGGCTTCGGTCGGTGATGGATGTCCTGAAAATGAGAAGTGCTTTTATTTATGGAAATTTCACTTTTTATATACTCCAATATTGATGCAAGATTTTGAATAAACCTGCGGTTTATCTAATGCCGAAGTTCAAAAACACTGTTCCTAATTATTCGCTTGAACTTGCTTTAGGAAGTCACTGTGACCAGCCACCAACAAAAAAGCACCTAAATTGACTTAAAAACTCGGCCTTTTTTGTCTTTCGTGCACATACACAATTCATTAGGAAAGGGACTTTAAATTTGCAACGGGAATGTTTAATTTATTTTCCGTGTTTTTTGGTCCAATGAAACCGACCAAAGCGAAATTGGCCTTTTTAGTTCTGCTTCCACGTCACATGCACTTGTATACAAATGTCAGCTGGCTTTATTAGATTGCATAGGTTTTCTCTCTAAACTTTGTATACAATTTTTCAAATGTGATTAGGGGTTTTTTAATTGGGCATCAACACCGGGCGGAAACTGCTTACTAATTTTTTTTATACGGCAAGCTGTTTGTGTACTGATATTTGTCTTCCTTCGAAGGTTGGCCATTATGGTTCTATAGAGTTAGTTCTCTGCTTCACCAAGAGTTTTGTCTGCTTCCTACTATAAGCTCTTTATTCTTGTCCATTCTGAAGAATACCAAAGCACTGCCTACGTTATGTGTTTGATTTCTTGATTTCTTGATTTCTGAATTTTTCTCTCACTTCTCTATTCAATTCATCATACTGGTGATTGTTTCTGGTCTTATCTTAATTTTCTGGTCTTTTCTTAATCTTTAATGATTTCCTTCGACATCCATTTTTGTTTTCAATCCAAAAAATAGATCTCAAATCCAATCCAAACCCTCACAGGCTGAGCCAGAAAAATCTTCGGATGGACCATTTGGAAATGGAATAAGATATTCTAGAAAACGCATTTTTCTGACCAAATAATCTCATATAGAGGTAAAGAAAGTGATTAAATTAGACCGTCTGGGAACCAAAAGATCTACCCAAACTCAAACATGTAACGCATATTTTCTTTGTAGTCCAAGAGAAACGCAAATAATTGGAAGACTTAAGAACGAATACAGGGGGGGAGGGTCATTTTTCTACATAACCCCTCCCCC